CTCCAGGAATCTCCAGGATCGAAAGCAGAGTGGTAGTTAAGTCAGGGTAGGGCCAAGGGACTTTGATTACATCGCACTTCCTAGGGAGCCTCTCCCTTGCTGTCTGTGAGATCTGAGATTGCCAGGGCCCTGAACACTTGGGTAGCAGTGGTGCCAGGACTGCCCTCGAAAATTCTTTCAGATCCTCCCAGCTCAGGGCTTGTCTCCATTGTTCAAATGGACAATGAATTACAAGTCATTTGAATTTGAATATCTCGTACTTCACAAGATTCCTGTTAAGAACTTTTCATCTCTTTATCTGCTGAGTGGGTTGTGCGTATGTAAGTGTGAGAGAGGACGCGTGACAGAGGCAGAAGGGGTTCGTTAGATTTGAGTGCAGGAGACGCCCGGGCCAGTGCCATGAGCTTCCATCGAGGGGCGTACTTTCCTGGCCACTAGGCCTGCCCTGGCTTCTGAAGCCCTCACGGACCCGGCGGTGGGAGAGCTTCGTGGGCTGGTTTCTTTGCTGGCGTTCCTGGAATGGGCATTGGCCTGCAACCAGAAGCGTTGGCACTGGGCCACTGCAGAGTAATTAAGAAAATAATGGAGTTGGAAGCGGGTGAGGGCGCTAGAAATCATGGGGCACCGACACAGAACCTGACACTACAGTCGCCCACTCCTAACCCCGGCTCTGCGCTAAGCCCAACTCCCGCAACTTGGAAGTTACCACGTCACACTAGGCAAAGCCCTGAAGGCAAGAGACAGCGAACCTCACTAACCACTTCCTAGCCCAGCCCCTGTCCCTGTGTCCAGCACTGCATCGGAGAACTAGTGTCCAGCCTCTGGGGAAATTGTGCTTTGGGGAAGCAGAGAGGACCTCGGGTATGGGCTGTCCCTGGTCTGCCTGTCCTGGTTCTCTGTCCTCTTAGCTAGAATACCTGCTCTGGGCATCTTTCCTGACTCCCAAAATGCCCACAAGCCTTTGGTCCTAGTAGAGGAAGGGAGTGAGCACTCAGCCTGAAAAGAGGCTGAAAAGAGTCCTCAAGTTTCCTCTTTGCTGCAAAGTGGAAGAGCTGCGCTGCTCGGGCGCCAGTGGCCATTTCCAAACTTTCTCACTTGGGTCAGTAAGAGAAGCAATTCGTACGCAATCAGTACACTGGGGAAAGTACGCGAAGAAACTTCAGAAAAACCGCCAGCCGACTCACTGAGGCCGAGTGCAGTGAGGAAACCTAGGGCGCGACCGCCGCCGCACTCCTGCTGACCCGCCTCACTAGGCCACCGGGGTTCCTTCTGCTTTCAGGCCTCTGCACTGCCTGCAGCTCCCTGCTGGACAGCTCAGGCTCCTCCGTGACAATCCCACCGGGATGCACCTCTGAGCCCTCCTGGTGCTAGTGAGGCGGTGAGAACTGGGAGAGATGGGAGAGATGCGCGGCCGCCTTGGCGAGCTCTGCGCACCCTGGGCTACCGGCTGAGAGTCCCAAGCGCGGTTGAGCACCTCGCGACTTCCTGCAGCCCTGCCGAGTGCGGTATATCCCGACGCCCCGCCCGGGGCCCTCGGGAGGAGGGAGAGAGTGGGAGGGAGCGGGCGGCCTGGGCGAGCGCCCCGGTCCCCTTACGCCCGGCACCCCCCGTGGCGCGGCGCGTCAATGGGATTTGCACACTCGAGGTGTAACAGCATTACTGCATTAATTACCATTTCCATTTCACGTCCAGATTGTTTACTTATCTGCGGGAAACATATGTCGGGAGAAGTTCACATTCCGGATTCTGCTCCGCTGCCCAAGGTGCAATTCCGGGGAGGCGGT